ACGGTAGGAACGAAACCGCTATCAATACTGGAAAGAGAAAGAGGAGCAACAAAAAGTGTGGGAAAGAGAGAAAGAAAAGTGGCAGAGAGAAAAAAACTTGAGAGGGAGAGAGAGAAAGAGAAACGTCTGGTTTATTATAAACAGAGCATTTACTTAAATATTTGTATCTATAAAAATAACGTATAAGCAGAATATATATTAAAATAATTATCGGACTTTTTCCATTACATAATTTTCTATGAAAATTTCTCGGACATTCATGCCGGTAAATGTTGTTAATACTGTTTAATATAAAACAGGGCATTTACTTAAATATTTGTATCTATAAAAAGAACGTATAAACATAAAAAATATCTTACATACATATATATATATATATATATATATATATATATATATATATATATATATATATATTGTTATTGTAATCTGTGATAACATATGATTTCTAGTTTAATCTAATATTAACTTTAATAAACAAATGTTTTCTATTTAGAATATATTATCACGTTTTTGGAATTTTCATATACTTGTATTCTGAATGGTCGTCTAAGTAGCAAAGTCTTTCGACTTTGGGCTAGAGTTTCCGCCATCTTGATTTTTTTTCGATCACTGCTTTTGTAGGGGGATATTTGTAGTCTTTCTTTTAATTGATCGTTGTTATTAATTGCATGCTGCCAACGAAAGAATCCAAAATTAAATTAAATTTTGATCAAATAAAAATGACCAGATTGTAAATGTCGAAAAAAAAAAGAAAAGAAAAAAAAGAAAGAAATGAAGGAAAAGAACAAGTACAAAACATAAAGAAAAAATCATTAGAAAAACAGGGAAAGAAAATAATCTGATAATCCTTAAACGGATAAAAGATTTTTTTTTCATTTTTACTTCTAAATTCTGTGCTTGAGGGAGGATTATCGATTTTGATTCTAAACTTGACCTCAAAGAAATTTTCGGATCACTGACTGACAACATAAGACAACTTTCATTCTAATCCAATGCTTATAACGATGTCAATCAAGTATGAAGCCAAAAACGACAACGGGACAATCAATTATATACTGAGAGAAAAGACATTTAAGGCAAGCAGTCTTTGCCATAACGTGCACGGTATCAAAGATAGAGCATTATTAGAAATCATAGAAAAAAAGATTTGTCACTTAGCTCATTGATATTACATTCAGCATCCCGACTCCAGAGTATCGTAGACGAACTCATCCGTCCACTCGTCAGGGGGTATCAGCAACTGATGAGTGGACGGACGGGTCCGTGTGCGAAACTCTGGAGTCGGATGCTGAAGGGAACACCAAGTGACAAATTTTTACTTGTATTAATTCTCTCTCTCTCTTTCTCTCCCTCACTTTTTTATATATATATATATATATATATATATATATATATATATAATGACAACGTAAAGGGGAGACGAATTAATCAAATCGAGGTAGCTTTCTCGGAGGTTGTCGAGAATATCAATAAGGTCTCATCACAGACAATGCCGGACGGGTGCAATTTCTTTAAAAGTCGCTTTTTGTACATCATATATATATATATATATATATATATATATATATATATATATATATATATATATATATATGTGTATGTATAATTCATTTTTCTAAATATTATTTTCGATGGATACTCATATTCGAGTAGATTATATATATTTTTTTATTTAAACAGTATTTTTTTTATACAACTATATCTCCCAGCCTCAATATTCGAGAAAGCTTCTCAGAAAATTATACGTCCTTTCTGATAAGATTTCTCGAATATTCAGGCCGATAGATGTAGCTGTATAAAAAATACAGTTTAATTAAAAAAAAAAGAACTTCTACTCGGATATGAGCATCCATAAAAAATAACGATTAAACAAAATAAATTAAAAAATAACAATATGTTGGATTTAATACATTTCATACGTACATATATATATATATATATATATATATATAGGTTGAGTAAGACCCATAAATTTATATCCATATGAGGTCATTTTTTTTGCTGTGTAATTTCTGTTACAATAAATACATTGTGCTCTTTTTGTGGATCAATTTTAATATTTGATATTACTAGGATCCACCTGGATTATATATATATATATATATATATATATATATATATATATATAATTTTTTCGTTGCTATATTTGTTTATATATTGTCATTAATAGGTAGGTAGCGTTTCGATTCGTTCGGAGCAACTTGTCGACGGCATCTAACATAGTACAACCTCGGTTCTCGAACAACATTGCCGAAACGAGTTAATCCGAACGGAATTATTTCCGAGTGGACCGCCATGTTGTATACATTCGTTTGTTGTGTTGTGTTGTGCTTTTCTTTTTTAATTTTATTGTTCTGTGACTTTTTTTTTTCTCTACATTGATTCCTATTGGAAAAATAGTTTCGGTTTACGAACATTTCGGTTTACGAACGGCCTTCAGGAACAAATTAAATTCGTCAACGGAGGTTCTACAGTATCGTATTTGTTTATGTCGTGGTATCGATCATCGGTAGGTGTCGCTTCTGTACTTTCAAAGCGACTTGCAAATAAAAATTTTTCATATTTGTTGACGCGCTATTTTTATTTAAACCGTATTACTTACCGCATCACACATGGCAATGCGTATCGGTTGATGAAAAATACGAACTGTAGTTACTCTCTTTTTTAAAAATGATCATATGGAGGGTTTCATTTTTTTGCCAGTTTATTGGTCAAAATTAGCGAAGATAATGATATTTTTTTTTTTGTCTTCTGGATCCAGATGCTGGTTTTGCTTTAACTGTTATTTGAACGATAAGGTGACGTTGACTTTATATGACAAATATAATATTGATGTTTAATGGTCGAATCATCACTTCGTCACAAACAAAAGATAAAACAATTAAAACAACAGATAAAACAATGAAAACAAAAGATAAAACAATGAAAAAAATATTCTTCAATTAACTGTGAATTAAGGACACAATTGTAGACTTCATTGCTAAAACTGAAGTTTTCACTATTGCAAAAATCTCATGAGGCAAATTCCAGAATAAAAGTTTGCCATATATTAAAAGTTTCACAAATCTGTGAACTGACCGGAGGTCATTTGAACAAAAGACCACCATGAAACGGTTACAGTGGCTCCCGGAAGAAAACTTTTAAAACATATCATCGAATATCACCAGTGGATATCGTAAGTTGCTGACTGGGTAACATAACAAAAGAGTTTCCAGATTATATCCAATTTGGATAAAACAAACTAACTACACCCTTGTACAAATTAATTATACAGGAAGATGTGGAGAGTCATGATCACCTACACCCTTGTACAAATTAATTGAAACAAAACGAATAATTATTTACTTTTTTCGTATTTTTCCAATGAAACATGACCCAGTGCACATGTTAATACTTCGTATGTCCATTCCCCGAAGTCGTTCCTTGCAGATTGATCACAGATTTTCGATTGGATTTAAATCAGGAGAGTTTCTGGGCCAGCCTATAGTACTTTGATTTGCTCACTGGTAAGGCTTGCTAGTGTGTTTGTGCAGTGTTATAAATTTCGTATGCTCCCTTGGAGTAACGGCCATCGCAGATAATGGCCATAGGACAACTAATCGACAGTCGAGACAATAGTGTCTGGGCGTGGTAAAAATCTGATGCAATCACGGATGACGCAATATTTTTCAAGGTCAAACAAATTTCGTCATACACCCCCAAAATAGATTCATATTGCTGCACACCATTGCAAAGGACCTAATCTGAGGTAAAAAAATAGAATTCGATTACAACCTGTCACTCCAGTGGGACTAAAAACAAACCGAATGGTTAGAGAAAGGAAATTAAAGCGGTTGTTTTGAATTAATTTGCACAAGGGTTTCGAAGAGAAGAGATATAGCGAGTTCAAGTTTCAACAGATATCAATGCTTATCGAAACTTTCACTGCAGTTGCTAGGAAAATGCACATTTTCTTTATTCGACACCTCAGCTATGAGCAGATTGTATAAGTAGGGGATAGACATCCCCAGACATACACACCCAGACACCCCCCGTACACGTACACGTATTTAATATCCTGCAATTAAACTTGGCTATATATCTATTTGTTTTTGTAATGTTTGTAATTTTTACTGTAGCAAGTACAGTAAATCTCCACTGTAGCGGCGATGTCTGTGGCAGTGTCTTTATTACGACAATGATAAACATATCGAAGATTTTACTAGGGCAGTATGTGAAAAAACGGATTCAGTGAAAGAACAAAGCATGGCAATTATCATTTTCAAGATAAATTTAAAATCTGGCATTTTTACGGCATGGGTAAACTATATATATATATATGTATGTATGTATATAATGTCAATAAAAAGACCACTCTTGTTACCATTTAAAAGTGTTCGAGCTATATATATATTAAATCTAAGAGACCTTTCCTATGTAAACAGAAGGATTTTTTACTTAGCCTTCATCTAGTTTCAATTTAATCATTTTTTTCCAATTTTCCCCTTTCGATTTCACTTCATGATTGTTTATTTATATAAATTTACCTCGATTTAGCTTTGTCGAGTGAGGTAGGAAACCGGTGAGCTAGCCTTTTCACTTCTTTTTTAATTTTGCATTATGAGTATCAATAAAAAATTTGTTTCTTTATTGTCATTCTAAAATTTTGAACCATAAAAAAATCGGCTGTACGCCATATTTGATTGTGATATATTCACCATCTCTTGTTTCTGTGTTTTTTTTTTCTCTTTTATAGACAACTTTTTGCACTTCATTATGGCTCCCAAACGTAAGGCAGACTTGCAGGTGTTTATATAGGGGAATTCTAACCTATGTATGTATGCATTCTGCGTAATTAGGAGGAAATTTTTTTAAGGCAAATGTTATGAAAGACAACAGACATCTTGTGTCGATTAATTTTATTGATGGAATTTTCCAATTTATGAAAAATCCTTCTCAAAGCAGGATATGGTTGAAGCTTTCGACTTTCTCATCAGGGTAGGTAGAGACAAATGGTA